GGAGATAATATATGTAACCACACAGCGTAGATGCCATAAGGAAGTGCTGACAGACACAGGTCGAGTCAGCCCTGCCATTAGAAAAGACGTGTCATTTCTATTATGAATATATTATTACAGCTTGACTAGTGTTCCTTTTTATTTACGAATTAACAGTTATTATATTTCACTGGCACTAAATTTAAAATATATTTTCCAGAAATAAATTATAATAAAAATAAAAATTATCCAACAATTTTTTTGTTTTGTTGACCATTTGGCGCCCTTTTGTGAGTAGCCCCCCCTTGCTCCCCCCTCGCTACGCCACTGTATCCACTCTTGTCTTATGCAGTCGTTTGCTCGTTCAAGCTTATGATTTTTCAAACTTATAATTGGATAATTAAGGAACTACAAATCAAAAATGACTGTTAATATAAGAAATAAGCGTATTCAACCATAACATTATGAATCATGTTATTAAAATTCATTATTCAAATAGTCTCAAATGACAGATAAAAAGCAAATTAAGATTTTATTTTTTCACCACACAAACCTTATTTTTTAATTTGCTAATTAACAATCAAGCGTTTTGTGATGTAATTGTACACGAAAGTGCAATGCTAATCTGCCGAAATTTGCAGAGAAATTTCGAGTGATGAATAACAGAAATATTCCATTTATGATTGCACTATCCCCATGTCCCTCGTGTTTTTTTTTTTTTTTAAATAAATAAATAAATTTTTGAGGGACAGAATATATTTATAAAATCTTTTATGGGGGGGGGGGCATATTTTTTCTTAGATTTATTATCTCATCAATTCACATATCCGCAAGCACAAAATAATAAAACACATTTTATTTTATAACTAAGGTATTATCAAGCTATATAAATAACAGTTCTGTTTCTTATAAAACACTTTTATTCACAAACAACCAAACAGTAACAAATATGAAGTACCCGTAACGGGATAGTTAAAATATTATAAAACAAACTAAAAAAAACCCGTAACGGGTTATAAAAAAACTCAAATTCCAAAACAAAACTAATCTCTAAAAAAAACCAACTCTCTTTTTCTACAAAAAGTCTTCTAATTTTATCGTCTGCTTTTATTTTAGAGTTTATCTCTTCATGTGGTTAATTTATTTTATTCATGCTTTTGCTAGCCAATTATTTTTATAATATTTTTAGACTTTATAGTATTAATAAATAACGGTAAAATTTTACGGATAAAAATATCAGCAATACCATAATTTTTACAGGCATAAAATTTTGCGGAAAATAAAAATGTATTTTAGAGAAAATGAATCAGTTTTGAAACGTGTTCTACATAGAGTTGCTCATTTTTCTGCATAGCAATATATAATTTGATTTCAACTACAGTTAAAGACTTTTTTGTATTAAATTAATATAAGTTTCGCTGTTAAAAGATATTCTCATTACAAGCACAATTGGGTATACTATAGCCTACGTCACAGGTTGTGTCATTCCTACTAAATTTAACCCATGAAAGGCATTTTCTGCGAGCCTAACTTCAAGCCACAAATAAACAAACGAAGTGTTCGATCGTTTAAATAGCTGCTCGCCAGATTTTATTGCATTATAAAGAAAAGTTATTGAAACTAAATACAACTAAATAAACAACAACAACTAAAACAAATAACAACAACTACTAATAACAATAACTAAATAAACAACAACTAAATTCCATTCGTTTAGCATTGCGTCATATGTTGCTCCTACTAAATCGAAGTAGTTGTGTTTTTTTCATATTATACCCAATTGGTCACGTTTTATATGTAAAATATATATTTTCATTACCAGCACAGGTGTTTATGTTTCTTTAAAAAACAACAAAAACACATCTGTACTAACACATTTCTTTTTTATATTTCTCAAGAAATACTTAAACAATCATTCTATAACTTCAGAAATGTTTAGATCATGTGATTTTTCACACTTATCAATGTGTTTTAAAGCTTTTTTTTAGAGGTTTGAGGGGTCGATAGTAAATTGCAAACGGAAAATAATATTTTTGAACACCCTATGCCAAAAAATTGTAGCAGTAAAATGTGGACATTCTTATAAAAAACTAATTTCTTTAATCTTTTTCTATTTTTTGCTATAACTTTAAAAATATCTAATAAAATTAAACAAAACTTCTAGAGCAATTTAAAATTAAATTTTTTTAAAATTTAAAATTTGAGAAACAATTATTAAAAACTCTGCAAGATATAAATAATTAAAGTGGTTCTTTTATACTACCAATAAAATTTTAAATAAAAATAATTAAACTATAATTATATGAAAAGTACCAAGTTTCTCTATAATACATAGATTTTTATTTATATTGCGGGTGATAATGTTTCTCTGTAAAATATATTATGTTATTAAAAGCACAGAAGAATTTTATTTAAATCACAAGTGATCACGTTTCTTTGTAATATCTAGATTTTTTATTAAAAGTACAGGTCGCGATGTTTTTCTGTCAAATATATAAATTTGCTAAAAACACACATGAAGCTGTTTTTCTTTAAAATGCATAATTTAATTTTAAACACAGGTGATCACTTTTCTCTTTAATAATTTAAGTTTTATATAAAATACAGGTGATTTTTTTTCCCGTAAAATATACAATTTTATTAAAAGCACATAAAAACATGTTATCTGAAAATATTTAATTTTATTTAGAGCACTGGCGAAGACGTTTCTCTTTAATATGTAAATTTTTCTTAAAATTACAGGTAAGGATGTTTCTTTGTAAATTACATAATTTTATTAAAACAAAAATGAAGATGTTATCTTTAAAAAATATAATTTTATTTATAGCACAGATAATCACGTTTCCCTGTAATATTTAGATTTCTCTTAAAAGTATGAGTGATAATGATTCTCTGTAAAATATATACTTTTATTTAAAGCACAAGTGATCACGTTTTTTTCCCTTCTTTCCTTTTTTAAGTTACGAATTTTTTATTAAAAATACATGTGACGATATTTCTATGCAAAACATATAATTTTATTAAAAGCACAGATTAAGATGTTTCGGTGTAAAATACAAAAAAATTATTTAATGCATGGGTGATCATGTTTCACTAGCTTATATTTTATTTATTAAAATATAAGCTAGATATATTTTTTATTAAAAGCACAGCTTTCTCTTAAATGTACAGGTGATAATGTTTCTCTGTAAAATATATAATTTTTTTAAAGCACAGGTGATCCCTTTTTTATTTATTAATTATTTTTATTTTTAAGTTACGGATTTTTTTAAATTAAAAATACATGTGACGATGTTTCTATGCAAAATATATATTTTTACTTAAAGTCTAGATTAAGATGTTTCGCTATAAAATACATAAAATTTTTTAAAGTATGGGCGATCACGTTTCACTATAGTATATTTTCAATAAAAGCAATGATTATTTCATTTTTCTGTAAAATATATAATTTTATTAAAAGCACAGATTTCTTTTAAAAGTACCGGTGATAATGGTTCTCTCTCAAATATATAATTTTATTTAAAGTACAGGTAATCACGTGTTCTCTCTTTTTTTTAAAATTACGGATTTTTTTTTTAAATTAAAAGTGCATGTGACGATGTTTCTATGCAAAAGATATAATTTTACTAAAAACACAGATTAAGATGTTTCGCTGTAGAATAAATAAATAACATAAATTTAATAAAATAAATAAAATTATTTAAAGTATATGCGATAACGTCTTACTATAGTACATTTTTATTAAAGGCAAAGGTAATCCTATTTTCCTGTAACATATATAATTTTATGAAAAGCACAGATGAAGATGTTCTCTCGAAAATATGTAATTTATTTTAAGTACAGGTGATCACGTTTCTCTGTAATACAATACTTTAATTAATAGTAAAGGTAACGATGTTTCTCTTTAAATAGATAGCTTTATTTTCAGCTCAAATGAAGTTTTTCTATGAAATACATAAAGTGTCCACTAAAATTCGTATCCACCCTCTTAACTGCTGAACAGTTTCAGTTATAAGTCAGAAAAGAAAAGTAATGTCTATGAATAATAAAGTGAGAAAAATCTCCAAGATGAAACAGCTTACTTCCCTATAAGATGGAAAACTGTTATACAGTTTAAAACACTACCAGATAACAACGTAGTTAGTGCTCCTAACTACGGTACATAACAGATATTTCAATCCATTACTAACAGGACAGTATATTTCCTTTCATAGTTTACATCCGTTACTAAATGGAAATTACCTCTTTTTATAGTGGGAATTATATGTTTAGAAAGTGAAAATTATCTTCTTTCATAGAAGAAAATATGGTGGTGAGATTTAACATCAGTAGAAGACATCCGTTACAAAGTAGACAGTATCCCTTTTTACAGTATTCTGTTACAAAATTGAAATTATTGCTTTAGCAGCAGAAAACATCTATTACTAAGTTAAAAGTATTCCCCTTAAGAAAAACATCAACAAAGATGAAAATACATTTAATTTTGCAGCCGGAAATATCCATTTTAAACAGTGGGAAGCATACCTTTTTATAGTGGAAAGTAATGAGTAAATGCTGAACGAATTTTCTTATGCATATTTCTCTCGTTTTTTTTCTCCTTAAATTTTTGTAATAAGAGCAGTGCGTTATTTTGACTTACTTTAAGGTAAATCGAATTCTAAAGAGCAAATAATTATCCCTTAAATTAAGTAAGAGAAGTTTTATTATATTTGTGTTCTTTGCTCTATTGTCATATTAGGTATCGCATGTTTTCAAAAGAGTTTTTTTTTCTTTACATAAATTTTTAATATGAAGTTTGATAGTTATAGTACTTGCTTATAATGTTAGTATGAAAAAAAAATTAATCGCGGTATAGAAATACGAGAGTATTAACAGAGTCCGATTTATTATTGAAATTAATTTTGAGAAAAAGGAGGAAGAAAAATATCCCCCTCCCCCACTCTTAAGGTGCAAGGTACGGGCGCGCAGAAGAGTCTCAGCCCCTGGGGGAGCCGCACGCTGAATGACGTCTTTGTCATTAATCAGTTAGTACCAAATAGCCGACTGCTTACAACCAACGGTTTTATACACCTCCGAATGTCTGCGGGCCGAGCCGACGATTCTTCCCCCCTCCCTTTGAGGTTGCTATGCCAACAGCTCTACACTACTACTTCTGCCTCGTAGATTTTTTTGATTACCTCTGCTCGATCGGAAACATTAGATTTCAGCCCCCCTACATCTCATCCAATCATTGAAAGCAAAGATGTTTACAATAAACAATTGTTTACTTCGCCCGTGCTACTTTTAGCGAAAACCCCGTGCACACCGATTCTGCTGTGAATGCGTGTATGTGTGTGCGTGTGACGAGACGATGTAAAGAGAGAGAGAGGAGGAGGAGAGGGTGAGAGTAGGGGGAAAAGAGTAGAGAACGCCATGTTGTATAAAATTGTTTGAGTTAGTCTGATGTGACGAGCGGGGGATCCCGAAGTCAGCTGATACGGAAGTAAACAATTTCGGATATTCCCTTTCCCCTTCATCCTAAAGTGAATAAACTCTTATGAATATCAAGATATAAGGATACTAAAGGATTATGTGCCATACAAATACCCGATCAATTTATAGGAATATCGCCAACCCGATCGGAAGAACTCCAGTGTAATTAGTCCCCAGAGTATAATCGAGCTGGCGGTAGCGGGGAGAAAAATAAGCGAAGGGTCTCAGAAAACGTCGCGATTGTTGCCTGACCTTCGACACTTTTTTTCCATATCTACCCTTTCTCTCGATTATCGACGTCCACAGACGACTTCAGGATAGATTTGCCAAGGTAAGTACCTATATTTCTTACATTTCAAGAGTGATGATTCTCTACATAAACATTCTTAAAGGTGAGAGAAGTTGAAGAGCTAAGTTGGTAATGTGGCGCCAGCAGCTATAGCAATGCAACATCCCGTGGCGATTTTTACTATGGCGGTTGCGCGAGCACTGTTCTTAACCCTAGCAGCTGAATGTAGTATAGTGTGACGTTCTATGTTCGGCGAATGGGAGCCCTGCTGAACGGAAACTGCTTTACACATTTCATTTTTGATGGACAGCTACTCCAAAACCACACCACCATGCTTTATTTTATCATTTGCTTTTTATATATTTTTCACATTGATGTTCTCTTAAATACTATTTTCACTGTAATTCAAAAACGAGAGCGTTTATTTACGCTTTCATTGAAAAATGATACCATGAATGAGGAACATAAACAAACACTTTTATAATACTGTATTATTGTTTACATTATTGTTCTGTTCCACAAGTTTATACATTACTAAATAATGCTGTAAACTGACCAGTTTGATTTAGAATGCACAATTTCATAGCTAGCATATCGTGCTCAATGGTGACCGCTTTTCATTATAATTTAATTTTGTTTACATTATTGTTCAAACGTTAATACTTTTACAAATCAATACGTTAACAAATAAAGCTATAAAGTGACCATTGCGATTTAGAATACAGTTTTTGATCACATCGTAGCTGTTACATTAATAGCGAACGTGTTTACTATATTGTTCTATGTCACTAATTTATTTGTAACTATTGAAAGCTATAAACTGACTTTAAACTTAATTTAATTCTTAATTATTGTTGTATTTCACAATTTGAAACATTGCTAATTAAAGCTGTAAACTGTCCTGTTTGATGTAGAATGCAAAATTTCTTAGCTAGTATGTCCAGTTCAATGTCGACCACTTCTTAATAAACTTCATTCATTATTGTTTACATTATTGTTCGATTTTTTAACTTGTTGAGTCATTTACATTAACAAATAGAGCAATGAACTGACCAGTGTGATTTAGAATACACAGTTTTGTATGATATGTTTTTTGTTGCATTTATAGTGAATGCTTATTTAATAATATATTGCTTACATTATTGTTCTACTTCACTAATTTATGCATCACTATTTAAAGCTATAAACTGACTAGTTTGAATTTGAATATTTAATTTTGAATACTCAATTTAGTACTATTAGTTGCACTGCTTTTCTAATAATCTATTATTAAAAATATAGTTTCACTAGCAGCTAATTTATCAGTGAGCTTTTCTTTTTATTCATATGAAATATAAAGTTTAGACTTTTTAGTAAGACATATGTTTAAATTTTTATGTATTGTAACTTGTAATATCGCTTTTGATTTTAGACAGATTAGTGACATAACTAAAAGTGATTCGGATACCAATTATTCAGCATATGGCCTTAAGGGAAAAAATATAATAATTATCCATAAGAAGTGTTAATGATAAATAAAAAACTGACTAACAGCTATAAGAAAAAATAGAGCTATGAAATTGAAAAAATGAAAGATAAACATAATTTTTTTTTTCATTAATTCTCCTAACAAAACTTTAAGTGCTAAAAATTATAGATCCGGAATAAAAAAGTATTAATAAAACATTCAAAGAAATATAAGTCTATCAGAACGACCCTTAAAAATTATTACGCTCTCAAAAAACAAATGATCTTCTATAGAAGATCTTAAAAATATCTAAAGAAAATAAAGCTCTATCTAAAAGAAAAGTTAATAAAAAAAAGCAAAAAAAATGTTTTTTTTAAAATTTCCGTAACATAATTGTAGCATTAAAAATCGCAGATTTCTATGTTACGGATAATCTATATTATGGTACAGGAAAAAAAGTGACAAAAAATATAGTAAATCAGAAACTTTCTTTTTAACTGCTGCACTTTTGCAAGCAGAAAAACTTCAAAATGGAAAAAAAATAAAAACTTTCTCAATTTTTAAAATAGAAACTGGAAAAAAAAAGACAATTGACTTGCCTGAATATAATAAAAAAGAAATCAGCAGTGCAAAACTCGTGGTTCGAAGTAATCTGTTATAATTCTTCAATTTTCACTTTACCATTAGTCTTCCAGGACATTTGCAAGCCGTGTATGCAAGTTTTAGAATTTCACAAAAATTTTTAAAAACTATTTCTAATAATGTTTAGTTTTAAAAATACTATTTTAATTAATATTAACTAAATCTATTCAAATTCCAAAAGAAACAAAACTTTACCGAGCATTCAGCCGACCGAATATTCGGTAAAAGGAGCGATTACAAAATATTCGTTGCATCCCTGAGATAGATATATCTAGGCCATTGTTGTTATAAACATGGTGCTTAGTGTTTTTAAAAAGTGCTTAAGGGTGTTTATTTTTGTTTTTTTAAAAGCTCTGAGGGTGCTTTTTTCATTGGGTGTTTTTGAAAAGTGCCTAATTTTCCCTTTCAGAAAATGAGATTTTTTTTCTTTACCATGTGAATTTTCGCTATGTATTATGCAATAGTGTGCTTTTCACATTTTTCTATTTAACGTTTTCACTATTCATTCAGCCACAATCTATTAGCGTATGAAAGCGCCAATCATTTTACAGGTTTGATGAAATACTTGCGAGTCCGCGTGTGCAGTGACTGAGCTGGGTTTGGTGAGATTATTGCACTCTCATGTGCAACTCTGCTGCATTTTGCAAGATATTCTCAATTTCAGGTTTCATTTTCCACCCTCTGAAATTGAACCGAAAAATTTCTCTATATTTTTATGGTGGCTATAATATCAATAAAAGAGTTCTTTTTCAGAAACTAGTTATTTTATCGTGATCATGTTAATTCATTGAAATTTATTTTGCATTTTGTTAATGTATATAGTGTTTAAAAATATTTTTTGAGTGCTTAAAAAGTCCTTAAATGGTGTATATTTTTTGCTGAAATATTTGGCTTTGCACCTGTGTACATAATATATTTCTTTTGGATATCAATATTTTTTTATAAACAATAATATTTAAAAAACATATATATATATCTTGGTATTTAAGCCATAACCAACCATTACAACATAACTACTCAGTTTATGTTTTGTTGATTAAAAAACAAACCCATGTTCTTAATTTTTTTAAGGTATTAACAAAATTCAATAAATTAACTTTTTTGACAGTCGAACATTTAAAAATGTCCTATCAGTAGGATAAATTCATAATGTTTGTTGATTTATAATTTTCATTTTTGGGTTGAAGGAAAATGTTTAAAATTATTTATTTCTACAATGTATTTACTATTGATATATTTAATTATTCTTTAGCTTTTTTAACTGCAAAAACTAAAGTTTATTGATGTTGAATGTCCAATGATTTTAGGTGATTTGTGTATAATTTCATTATGATGTTATGACTATGGTAATCAGGGATGCAGAAAATTCTATTAGTATTCACATAAAGGAAATTTTTTTTAAAATGCTTGCATTGAAATGTTTCTAGACAACTAAGATTTTATCTATATAAAGAAAGCCAATTTTAAGGTAAAACAAGATAAGTCTATAACTAGTGTTATATCTTCAAAGTACTGCTAAATTTAAAGAGATTTATGCAGGTATGTCTAATAATCAGTATAAAATTTTATAACATTGAGCACTTTTAAAAAATATCAACAATTTTCAAACTAATTTTGTTAAAATTGGGTGACATTGAAAGGTTAAAAATATATAGTACACTCGAATCTGTTTATCTCGAACCTCACGGGAAAGGCGAAAAATTCAAGATAAAGAAGAGGTTTCGAGTTATACAGGTACTTTAAAAAAATTAAATTTAATTAAGAAATTCTATTAAAAGTGCTTTAATTGTTTTTAGTAGAAAAACATAGACATTTCTTTAAATTAATTATAACACATACATCTATTTCTATAACACTGAAAAAAAATTTCTAAGATTTTTGGCGTATAACCTTATTTGTTTCGATTATTCTTTTGAGTTTAGAAAGATCGCAAATTTCTTATAGCCAACATTTTCCTGGGATTCTAGAGTAGTTTATAAGAATTCTACAGCTTTTTCTACTTGTTTTGCATTCTATTTTGATTCATCAATATGATCTTCAGCTTCTTCATCTGATATTCCTTTGACATAATCTATGATTTCCGCATCTGTCTGTGTTCCTCATGTTGCCAGGCAGTTGTCCACTTGTAAAAATATTCAAAATTAATGTCAACATTAAATCCAGATTTTATTGCATTCCATTCTGGCAAATCTGGCACTGCATTTTCAGCGTTAACATTTTCTTCTTCTTTACTGATGGCTTCATCAACCTCTTATTCATCATCTTCACAGCTATTTTTAAAACCAGCTTTTTAAAGCCATTTTGGATAGTTTTTAGAGACACATTTCTCCAAGCAAAACAGTAATTCTGATAGTGTCTAACTTGCTTCATTGATGGCATCTACAAGTTTGCATGGCAACTGTTTTCTATAGCTTTCTTATCTATGTTGATGTTGAAAAGCTAACCCCTGATGGTCACTACTCATTAACCCCTCACTTACTGCCAGAATCATTATATGTATTCCTTTCTGGTTAAGGAAGTGCAGAGATAGTAATTGAAATTCCAAGAAACTCTCTCTACCTGTTCATCCCTAGTTCCTGTGGATTCATGAAATTTATCACTGTCTACGAGTTCTACTGATAATGAAAGTTTTGACATTTGTGCTCTATTATTAGAAATTCGAGAAACAGAGGTTTTGAAAAAAAAATTCAACATAAACATGGAAAATACATTGATTTTAGACAGTAAATCTAGGGAATTTTAGAAATTTCGAGATAAAGAGGTTCAACTGTATATTTATTTATTTAATATATAATCACAAACACACATGTATGTATGTATATAATATATTGTATGCATATGTCAGCCGTTAGTAAATAATAATGAATAAGAAGAATTTAATAAAATATTGAGTGACTTCACTTGAACTTATTATTTGATTAGAAAAACTTGTTTGCAACTGAAGATCTATCTT